TTTTGCCCAATTAATGAAATGATTTAATCGATATTTTCACAACCTCCCTTCTCTTCCATCCATTCATTGTAGGAATGAATTAAGCGACCCGTCTGAGCTATAAAAGTTAACAGTATTTACAGCTGGGCATTGGCACCACTTTCAGGTACCACCAGTATTAAATCGTGCGATTCGATTGAGATCGTTGGCAGTTGTCGAGTGACTTCCTCTATTCTTTTTATACATTTAAATTTGGTTCCTTTTTTTAAATTCATTCACGAAGTGTTGTAAGCTAGTACATTTTGATTTGTTTGTTCATATATTTCAAGCCATTTTACTTTATTTAATTTAAAAAGTCTGTTCCTTGTGTTGTGCCATTGCACAAGTTTTCCCCTACTACCTCCGTACACCTGTGCGAGAACTCTCGCACGTTAAACCCCGCACTCTTCCCTATCCTTTCTATTTACATTCTAAGAGGGAAATTTGTTAACGAAACGTATGTTTAAAAGTGTATAAAGGTAACCTCCAATATACTAACACAATATCAAATTTAAAAAACGCAATTGATATTGAAAAAAAAATTTCAATAAATATTTATTCAGTATTATCGAGAGATTTCTTGGAACAATTCGCAACACTTCCTCAAAAATGTTTGAAGTAATTATTTAACATTCTTTGATAGTTAGCTTTCCGCTTTACGCGATAGCCACAAAAGTATTAAAAAAAAGCTTTTTACGCTCGAGAAAGCTCCGTGACTGAAACGCTGACAAAAAAATTCACCGAATCACTGTTAATAGCGAAAATACGGGTAAGGAAAAACACAAACCAAACCTAAGAAGAAACTTCAATGTGTGCATCCCTCCACAATTAGGTATAAAGCATTAGTAGACCTCAGCAAAACGTTAAATGAATGTTTTCACTACACGCATAAGAAAGAATCATCGGTATCAAACAACAATTAATAGTACTTCTAGTTGTTGCTGCGAGAGAAAATCCTGAATTAAATAAGTATGCAAATAAACCTAGACAGTCTGTGCAAACCACGGTGTACACAAGAAGCGTAAATCCTATAAGATAGATGGATCTAAGCCTTTTAAGTTTGACGTCACAACGATTGCCACCATCATCAAGGGTAGAAATCTAGGTGGCATTAGTTCTATCGATAAGTGCTGTACCAGAACAAAATTAATAGAATGCCCACGTATATGTTATCCTGCAGATTACGATGTGAGAAACGTTTCTTTTGAGGCTTTTGGCCTTAAAATTTTAGTTTTTAAGACCCTAGATCACTTCGTTTAGGAGTTATTTAACGGTATAGCTGACTGCGTGCTGCGGTTTGTAATTGACATAAATATTTACATGCGTTTTTCAAACAAAACCTTAATATTTTAAAAGTCAATGTGCAATTCGCCACGTCTCCTTAAAATTATCTTTCATTAGAGACCTTATTTATCAAGGCTGGTTGCATGTAATATGCGCAAAAGATTTGCATACCATTGAAATAATAAAGGACACGATGCACATCCTGCGGCGAATAGTTTTTCGATAGATTAAACAATAGTTTTAAAAAACCTAAAATAATACATACAAATATTATAATTATACTTCGTCGTATACGTACGTATATACGGAGTAAGTGTATATGTAGTACACAGAAAATTAAGTAAATCTGCGGAAAATCGATATCGAGATTTTAACGGAAATAACCCTGGTAGCGAGATACTTCTCCCAAACCCCCAACAAAACATGCGTCTGCCTGTCTGTCAGTCTATGTTTGAACACCACTAGCACCGAAACCATTCGTAGGATTCTTCCAAAATGAATGTTTCCCAGTCAGTCTGGTTGGACTCCACGCTTTGCAACATGGAAAAACATTCATTAATGTTTTGAGGTTCTTTTCATGAAGGCCGATGAGATTTTAATAATTTTCTAAAAAATTACTCCAAATTTTTTCTTTACATTTTTTGAAAGAAAAGAGTAAAATACACTTATAAAGGTGACATATGTCAAATTTTCACAGCTAACTCTACATTTTCGAATATTGTAAAATTTTGAATTTTTTTCGGCGTATTCCTACAACTACAAAATTCAAGACAGAATTTTCTTCCAAATGAAATTTGTTGTTCATAATTAGTTTTCTTTAGGATCAAGCACATTTTGAAAATTTTAGAAGTTTGCGTGCAATTTTTGCAAATTAAAAAAATACTAATTCAAGATTTTCTGAAAAACGGTTCGAATTATTTTTTTATAGAGTCCTAAATGCACTCTATAAGATTATAGGTGTTGTGGTGTGATATCTTTGGCATTTTTCATAAAATAATTACAGACGTTGTCATTGCCAACAATATT